GGTTCTTTGTTGATGATGATGAGACTATCCCAGCATTGTCAATTATGAGCTTTTGCTGTGCTCTTATTTGGTGAAACTCGTGATGCAATTCTGCTATTGGTTCGAGGTCACGACTATCTGGTCTCATGTGTATGATGCTGTTTGATTTCTGAAGTTCGCTGTCGCTCATTTTCCTTGCAATTTGGTATCGGAGTTGTGGTACGGTGCGCTCATCTGGCGCTTGTCTTCTACCTATGCGGTACATGCATGCGGTCTGCTAGGCGAACGACCGTAGGGTGTGTGAAGTGAAGAGGGCGAAGATAAGCAGGCGACCCAGGTGGAGAGGGGATTGCCAGGAAGGCTACGTGGTGAGTAGTGGGTGTTCGTAGTGTGATGAGAATTATCTGATGTGTGATTGATGCTGAGGTGGAATGGTGGTGTAATGCTGGTTGCGCCGAAGCAGCGATTGGTCATCACAATCGGCATCGGGTCATCTAGTGAGAATATCTGTGGTTGGGGGCAGCTAGTTTGAGGTATGTTGCACCTAACCTTATCTACCCTCTTCGACAATTCTTACCATGAGGATGTGTGTTTTGTCTTGAGAGTTCTCTCATGTGAGGAGTCGTGTGCGCTCAACCTTGGGAGTCATCCCTGTTCACGTCGAGCATCTGGAAGGAGAGGGCGGTGCTATCTGAAGGGCCCTGGACGAAGCACTGGGTCACGGTCACCATGCCAACCCACCGGGAGTAGAGCACACATGCTTTGCTGCTTTGTCCTTTGCCTGCTCGCTGTGCTATAGAGGGGTTCTGAGGGGCAGGCCAGCCCTATGGGAAAGACGAGTACCAGACGTTTATAAATAAGTACCGGCGGGGACCTTCCACTGGTTGTGATCGACGTCCTGTTTGCAACGTTAAATAATTCATGAGGACTTCGGGGGCCGTCCATAAAAACGCCTCATGATCAGCCAATCGGTCGGTGTAAGGTTCGCTGCATGCGAGGATAAATACGGTGCAGGGCTGGCCAGCTCAGCAGGACTCAGGGCACAGGGGTGGGCCGTGTGCACACCTTTAGACACGCACGCTGTTTCGGATTGCTCAGGGACGTTGATGACAAGAGACATTCATGAAGAACTGAGGGAGGGGTAGATTCCAGGTGATAAGGTTGGGAAAGATTCCACTCTACAAACAGCCAACCAAATGATTCTATTTTTATTTCTGATTAGTTAGATGTACAACCATTAACATCTGACAGACAGCATAGTTAGAACTGTTCTCTATTCATTGTGCTTTCTGTTTGCGAACTAGTCAAAGTAGGAATAGTTTTGTTTGTAGCATACTTGCAAGCGGACGCCGTCCGGGCGGTTCCGCACGTGCGGCAGACCGTCGGACCGGACCCGCGCGGCGCACGAATGTCCGCCCGACGACCAGTTACGCCCCACCCCCTCCCCCCCAAAAAGAAAATGGCCCTGTCCGGTCCGGTCCGGGTCCGTCTGGTCCGGGGGGAGGGTGCCGCACGCGGCAAAGCGGACCGGACCGGACGCTCGTCCGGTCCGTTTGCTTGCAAGTATGGTTTGTAGGAATCTGAACTTACCTGTTGGACCCAAATGAATCGTTTTTGACATAGCCACCGATTATTAATATTATTCTATTTCAAATCGGTCTGTGCATTATGCTGCAATAGGCGTTTAGTGTGACCTAGTGCAGACTGTGTATAGTTCGGTAGCTTATGAGCGACAGAGAGACCACTAGAGAGGACGATAGGATCTTGCGATCGGCTAGACGCCCGATAGCCCACTTGGCATTAGGACCAGAGGGCGACAGATACCTGTTCCGCCAACAGAGAGAGAGGCAGCAGCAACAGAGAAGAGCTAGGGCCTCAAAGGCAAGCAGGGCATTCGCAAGTGAGGCCGCTTCTTCAGCAGCCATGGCATCTGCTGTGCAGCAGAGCTCTCAGGCTAGTAGTTCAGGGTCTGTAGGGTCAAATGTCGCGCAGACCCTGAGTCAGTCCACTGGCGTCATGGCAAGCCAGCCAATAGTGTTCACCCCTGAAGAGGTCGCCATACAGCGGGCAGCACTGCAAGAGGCACAACTACAAAAGGCTTTAGAAGAGATAAAGGCAGAGAAAGAGAAGATGATTAGAAGAAGAGCCAGGATGCAGTGGAGACAAGCGGACGTCAATGAGTTAGAGGGCATGGATCTGACGCACGTGGATGCTGATGTGAGGACCCTACGGTCCGTCCTGCTAGATGTAGTCGAAAGGCAGGACCACCAGACGGCTCTCTTACAGGATATCCAGTTGAGTCTGGCTGTATTGGTCGGGCGAGAGCAGGCTGCTCCATTGCCGTCTGGGCCCGGTGCCTGGCCCGTTGTACAACCTCCTCCTTTTGTCCCACCGGTGACTGGGGTATCCCCATATGTCTCTCCAGCATCGGTCCAAGCCGCTTCCCTAGGTATGTCGTTAGCAGGAGGGTTCTCAGCAGGTCCTAGCCTACAGGTTCCTATACAGTCAGTGTATTCCCAACCTCTGTCGCAGGTTGTCGTAACCGGATAGCTTGTTGTCTCGCAGCCTGCACAGCCGCAGGGTACACAGCCCCAGCAGCAACTAGTGCAACAGCCGGGTACCGGGACAAACCCCATGGGTTCCAAAGACGACCATAGCTTCTCCCAAACCCTTTTCAGGGGACAAGAGGGGCGAAGTCCTCGACACATGGTTGAGGTCAGTGCCAGTCTCTGTCAAGTGTAAATTGACCTTGCCGCACGAGGAAGTGCTTGTGGCTGCCTCCTATTTAGAGGGGAGTGCAACAAGATGGTTCAGTGATTTAGTGCAGTTACAGGGATACGGTCATGACTTCCACGCTTCGGCAGTCAACCAGAAACTGGATGACTTCATCAAGCTGGTGGAAGATAGGTGGCATGATCCTCAGGAGGCTCAAAAGGCCACTGATGCGATCCTGACTCTGAACCATAGACAGTTCAAGTCAGTAAGAGAGGCCACAGACGCAGTAGAGCGTCTAATTTGTATCCCTGGAGTGCGCTATGACCCCCAAGTTTTACTCACCTCCTACCTGAGATGTTTTCCTATGCCTCTTAAATCATTTTGGCAGGTGAAGTCACCATCAACATGCACAACTTCCCCTCGTTCAGCAAGAAGGCCCTAGACCTGGAGGCAAAGATAGGGCATGGACAAACACCCACAACAGACGGTAGGAAGAAGTCACTGCCTCCCAATTGGAAGGCGAAGGGACGCATAATGCTCGTCGACAACGATGGTTCCACCATCGAGTTGGAAGACGACTTCCAGGCGGGAGCGGGTTCAGAGGCGGGCAGCGTAGAAGTTTCAGGGGGTGGAACAGTCGCTGCCTCTGTCCAAAAAGGTAAGGCGACCGGTAGACGCCGCGGAGGTTCCCGGTCAAGTTGTCAAGTTGACCCCAATGCTCCACCATGGGAGAAAGCAGGTCTAACTGAGGACGTGTGGAGAGATCGGTACACCCGGCAGACTTGTATCCAATGTGGCCAATATGGCCATAATCAGTTTAAGTGTCGGAACAAGAAGGTGACCGAGAAGATCCCGCCTAGGATGGGGCAGGCGTTGGGATCCTCCACTCCCGTAGGTAGCAATGTGGCCAGCAGTTCTGGCACTGCTCCGGGAAACGTGTCGGGCCAGTAGGAATAGTAGTTGTTCGTGCTAGGGTCGAGGTGGTGGACACACCCTCACCATCTCGAGAGATGGCCCAAGCTACTGACTCCATTGTCGTCCCGCAAACACATTCAGACCCATCGAGCCTCTGTTCGATGAATGTGTTTGAATCCTTAGAGGAGCTAGAGGAGGAGTGGTCTAAATTAGACCTGCTAGCTTATTGGATGGCATTCGCTAAAGCCCCTAAACGTGAGATGTTCGTCGGCGAGGTAGTCATCGGCGGCCACAAGGCCGGGGCCTATTATGACACTTGCTCGACGCGGAACTTCATTAGTCGTGCGTGCGTTGAGAAGCTGCACTTACGGGGGCAAGTGTAGCGCCTGAGTCGACCTGTGCCAACAAACAGCGCATGGTAGTCAATGACTACCTCAAAGACATTGAGTGTCTTTTCCCGTATGCGGGAGGGGAACTGAGACATCGCGTCTCGTTCCTAGTCAGCGATGATCTCCCAATGGACATTCTGTTGGGTATGTACTATCTTTCGGTTGCACAGCCCCAGTTTGACTGGGACCGAAAAGTGGTCAAACACACTTTGTCAGGTCGAGCCAGATTACGTAAGTCTAAGGCTAGTAGTCTGATCGAGTCCTACGGATGGATGTGTGTGGCCGCGTTCTATAACTATTATAAGCAAAATCCGGAGGAGGGTATGTATCTAGTTTATGTCTCTGCAGCAGGCGAGCCGGTGAAAATGCCGTCGGAGATAAAGGGAGTTGTCGCTAATCTTGCGTCTAAAGCTTTCATAATATAATATCCGATTTCGAAACTGGGAAATTCCGCTAACGCGCCTCAATCGACACCAGAGAAAGAGGTAGGCTAGCCAAGCTATATATACGTTGGATAGGAAAAGGATTCTATAATAAGCCCCACTGAATTGGAGACTTAGGATTTATGTAATAACTGAAAAAAGAAAAAAAAAGAAAAAAGGCGAAGCGTAGGGAAATTTGCATATATGTTTTCAAAGCTTTAGTCATTTGTGTGCAAATAAATTATAGTTTTTCTATGCGTAGAACAAGAAAAGGTTTAACTAATAAAAAAACAAATTCTTCTGAGAAACAGTAACAAGTCAATAAAGTGAAAACAAAACAAATAAAAATCCACAAAAAACGAATTCGAGCTTCCTCGATAATAATTTTCAATACTGAATTCATTATCCGTAAATTAACATACATGAATGGATGGAGAGGGATTCGAACCCTTTGACCTATTAAGTTATATTCGTCGTGGTCCCGACTCGCTCGAACCGACGAAGTGTTTTAGTTTGTCGTGTTTACCATTTTCACCAAGCGAGTATGCTCACTATCGGACTTGAACCGATAACCCGTAGGAGCATATTTTAAGTATGTCGTGTTTACCATTGAGCTTGATTTCAAACTAAACAGACTCAATCATGCAAAACATGGCGGGACGCCCATCTATGTGTTTGATGATTGATTTTCAAGAGTTTCTATGGAATCAACTATCACGATCGTCAATTAAAAAAAGAGATTTGAAAAATGTATTTACTTATTGTAGTCTTCCCTCTACTCGGTAGTTTAGTAGCAGGCGTGTTTGGTCGCTTTCTTGGTTCACGAGGGGCTGTCTTGGTAACAACCACTTGTGTTTCAATTTCTTCARGTCTGTGTTTCATAGCTTTTTATGAGGTTGCACTGGGAGTCAGTGCTTGTTATATCAAATTCGCACCATGGATTTTGTCAGAAATGTTTGATGCTTCTTGGGGTTTTCTATTTGATACTCTGACTATGGTTATGTTAATTGTGTACTGATATTGGCGGTATAATAATACTAGATTCTTTTGAGATTCTAAATAGGATACATTTTGAAGCAGTTTTGGCCACCACTTCGTGTCCAGCAATTCGGCGGAGATGTCCAAATTGCTGCACTTTGTGCCTGGAGGCTCGCAGTGGGACTTCGTTATGGTATGATTTTGTTCAATGTGTCAGAAGTAATGTTTTTTGTAGTTTTTTTTTGGACTTTCTTTCATTCAAGTCTGGCGCCTACCGTAGAAATTGGAGCTATTTGGCCTCTAAAAGGTATTGATGTGTTAGATCCTTGGGGAATCCCCTTTCTAAATACTCTTATTCTACTTTCATCTGGAGCTGCTGTAACTTGGGTTTATCATGCTATATTAGCTGGTTTAAAACAACAAGCCCTTTATGGCATATTAACCACTATTCTTCTAGTTTTAGTTTTTACTGCATTTCAAGGAATGGAATATGTAGAAGCTCCTTTTACATTTTTGATGGGATATATGGCTCTACATTCTTTTTAGCTACTGGATTTCATGACTTTCATGTCATTGTAGGAACCGTTTTTCTTATTATCTGTTGTGTTCGTCAGTACATGGGTCATTTTACTCGAAGACACCATTTCGGGTTTGAAGTTGCCGCTTGGTATTGGCATTTTGTTGATGTGGTTTGGTTATTTCTATTTGTACCCTAATCTATTTGAAGAGCCGAAAGGGGTTGTTGAGAGGGAGGTCGTCCACGCGATAGAGATTATCCTAGGGTCTAGCATTCCGAAGGGTAGGATCTATCGGATGTCTCCAGGCAAGCTTGATGAGCTTCGGCGGCAGCTCAAGGAACTTGTAGAGAAGGGTTGGATCCGGCCGAGTGTCTCCCCTTATGAATCTCTTGTCTTATTTGTACCGAAGAAGAGGGGAACTTTGAGGATGTGCATTGACTATAGGGGCCTCAATGCCATCACTGTCAAGAACCGAGAGCCCCTACCGCGCATCGATGACTTGTTGGACCGAGTGCAAGGGTGTCAATACTTCAGTAAGATAGATCTGAAGTCCGGGTACCATCAAATTGCAATACGGCCTGAGGATCAACACAAAACCGCATTTCAGACCAGGTACAATCTGTACGAGTTTATGGTGATGCCTTTTGACCTTTGCAATGCTCCTGGCACCTTTCAGCACACGATGAACCGGATATTTCATGACTACTTGGACAAGTTTGTCATCGTCTACCTCGATGACATACTTATCTTTAGTAGGACTGTCGAGGAGCATGTAGCGCACTTAGATAAAGTCCTTAGCCTCCTCAGACAACGCCAGTTCAAGATCAATCGGGAGAAGTGTGAGTTTGGCCGCAGCCGGATCTTGTATCTGGGTCATGAGATTTTCGTGGAGGGTTTGAAGCCCGATGACGCGAAGGTGGCCAACATTCGTGATTGTCCGCGTCCTCAGTCTGTGACTGAGATGAGGTCCTTCTTAGGGATGACAGACTACTACCGCAACTTTGTTCAGAATTATAGTATAGTGGCCGGCCCTTTGACGGACCTGATACGCCTTGACACCCCATGGGAGTGGACAGACAGGTGTGAGGCTGCTTTCAGACATCTGAAGCATGCGTTGACACACCATGAGGTCTTGAAACTTTCTGATCCTGATAAACCTTTCTTTGTGACTACGGATGCCAGCCAATATGGCATTGGTGTCGTACTTGTGCAGCAAGAGGGGAAGAAGTTGAGGCCGATAGAGTACATGTCCAAAAAGATGCCCTCTCAAAAGTTGGCCAAGTCCACCTATGAGAAGGAGCTCTATGCGATCTACAAAGCGCTAACCCATTGGAGGCACTACCTCCTAGGTCGCTTCTTCTATGTCAGACTGATCATCAGACCCTGAGATGGATGAAGACGCAACCAGTACTCTCCGACGCTCTGAAGCGTTGGATCGAAGTTGAGCAGTATGACTTCAAACCCCAGTATATCAAGGGGGAGTACAACAAGGTTGTTGATGCGCTATCGTGTAGGCCAGATTTTCTCGGTGCGCTGGTCACTGAATTTGGGCTTGCGGACGATGTTACTCAATCTTTGGTGGAAGCCTATCGCGAGGACCCATTCATGTCAGAGATCATACGCAGACTCGAGGCAAATGATAAGGCTACATCTGAAGAGTTTGAGTTGATCAATGGCCTGCTGTTCCTTGAGAAGACCGCGAATAAACGTCTTTGTGTGCCTAATCGGGAGTCTTCGCGTAGTTTATTTTTAGGAGAATGTCATGATGCCACCGGACATTTTGGATATAGAAAGACTGCAGCAAATCTGTTGCAGCGGTTCTGGTGGCCCACGATGATGAGAGATGCCAAACTGTATGTTGAGACTTGTCAAGTTTGTCAACGAGACAAGCCCCGAACACAAGCTCCTCTTGGGTTTCTCAAGCCCCTTCCCATTCCGGAAAGGCCTGGTGAAAGCCTGTCCATGGATTTCATGGATATGCTAGTCACCAACAAAAGTGGGATGAGGTACATCTACGCCATCGTGGGTAAATTTTGTAAGTATGCTAGACTAGTAGCTATGTCAGAAACAACAAAGACTGACATTGTGATCAGACTGTTTAAGGAAAATTGGGTTAGAGACTTTAGCCTACCGAAGTCTATAATCAGAGACTGGGATGGCCGATTCACCAGTGATCTGTGGAAGGCCGCAGCTGCCGAACAAGGAACGCAGCTGCAGATGACATCTGGAAACCGTCCGGAGGCAAATGGATAGGCAGAGCAGATGAACCACGCTGTCCAACACTTGCTGAGGCATTGCATTAAGCCTAATCAAGTGGACTAGCCTAATCAAGTGGACTGGGACGAAAAGCTCGCTCTCATCACCAGCCTGTACAACAATGCAGTTCATAGTGCTACGGGAGTAAGTCCTAACAACCTACTACTAACATTCAAACCTAGACTCCCTCTTGACTTTCTGCTACCTGACAATCAGCCCACTGCTGCTCCAGGAACTTTGGAATTTGCTTATAGATATGAGAAGGATATGCAGCAGGCTATAGAACACATGCACAGAGCACAGGCGGCGATGATTGAATCTGATAACAAACACCGCCGCCCATCTACGTTTCAGGTAGGGGACAGAGTCTGGGTCAAGGCTTCTGAACTGGGACAGGAGCACGGGATTTCCCGTAAGCTCATGCCACAGTATTTTGGACCATGGGAGGTTCTGGATGTAGTTGGGAATGAACCAGACGGACCCTCATATGTGATTCGGATCCCTGGACACCTTCGTACCTACCCTGTTTTTCACGCCTCTAAGCTTGCACCATCCAAAGAAACTGATCAGTTTCCCACTCGTCGCTCAATGCTGCCCCCAACCATGGACGGAGAGGTCGACATCGACAACATCGTGGACCGCAAGGAAATGCCGGTTCCAAGACCGACAGGCAGGGGACATCCTCCGAAGCCGAAGCTGCAGTACAGAGTTCGGTTCAGACATCACACTGATCCGAAGGAGGATAGATGGTTCACAAGGGAGGAGCTGATGCAGACCGCACCGCAGGTTGTCGCCCACTATGAGAAGTTGCTGCAGAAAGGAAAGCGCCAGATTGAATGAGCTTCTCAGAGGACTAGCGAAGTATGGAGGAGCGAATGCGAGGCTCAGGGCCTCGATCTGCCCTACTGGGCCCTATTTTCTATATGGTCGGCCGCCCTAAGTGAAGGCAGGCTCGACCCAGGGCCTACAGGCTGCCTGTTTTGGGGTCACCACACAAGTGGGTAAATTGAGGCAGTTGCGCAGCGCCAGTTGGTTGAGAGCACCCAGGCCCAGGCTGCCTCTTTTTGAATGTAACCGAGGCAGGCCCTGGGCCAGATTCGCAAGATGGACCGAACATAGGCCGCAGGCAGTTGTACACGGGCAACCACCACAGGCCCAGGGCCTGATTCATTTGGTCCGGGGCTCAGCCTCTCTGGGCCTACTGGAAGCTTCTGGGCAGGGGCCCAGTGCAGCCAAGCTGCACGCAAGGCAGGCAGGCCATTTCCATTAGGAAAGGGCCTGCCCACGTATTCAGGATTCGGGCACTGGCTGCATGCTGCGCAAGCGCTGCTGCGCTAACGCTGGCCAGCGCTCACGCGCTCACGGGCAAGCTGGAAGGAGCAGGCAGCCATAGCCGATCTGCACTGCTGTATGCTGGATGGGGCACATGGTGGTCTTTGGGTGCATGTGGCATCTGTGAGTTGGGGATCGAGGTTGTGAGTGATACGAGAGACATACCTGGTGCTTGAGGCGAACGGCAT